ATGATGTTCTTGATGTCATCCCACAACTCTTTTGGTCTTTGGTCATTAGTGTTTAATGTATCAAATCTGTTCTTCAGATGATCTCTAAATTCAGGTGGGATATAATCAAGGTCGTATTTTGGCTCCTGTGGACTTGTTTTCATTTTCTTCAGCTTCAGCCTGAATTTGCCTATGAGCCATTGATGGTCTGTTCCACAGTCTGCCCTTGGCCTTGTTTTGACTGATGATATATTGTCAGTTTGACTTATGTATATTCCATTCGGTGAGGTCCATATGTATAGTTGTCTTTTATATTTTTTAAAAAAGGTATTTGCAATGAAGAATTAACTGGTCTTGAAAATTCTCCAGCATGTGATCTCCAGCATCGTTTCTATCTCCAAGACCATATTTTCCAACTACTGATCCTTCTTCTTTGTTTCCACATTTTGTTTCCAGCCTCCTGTAATTATCAATATATCTTGATTGCATGTTTAATCAATTTCAGACTGAACAAGTTGGTAGAATTCTTCAATTTCATCATCACTGACTTTAGTGGTTGGTGTATAAATTTGAATAATAGTGGTATTAACTGGTCTTCCTTGTAGACATATGATTATTATCCTATCACAGATAGCGTCCAAGTTCATGACTGATCTTGATATATTGTATGCAATTTTCCTTCAATTTGGCATTTCCAGCAAAGTAAACCATGTGATTTTCAGATTTAAATTTTCCAAAACTGATCCATTTCAGCTCACTAATGCCTAGGATGGAGTCCTGGTGTGGCACTATGGGTTAATGCATCAGACTGCAAAGTTTTTTGAACTGCAAGGTCAAACAGGATCACTATGAGTCGGAATTGACTTGATGACACTTAACAACAACAACAACAATGTCTAGGACATCAATTTTTATACATTCCATTTCAATTTTGACAATTTCCTATTTTCCTAGATTCATACTTCATACATTCCATATTCTGATTATTAATGGATTTTGACAGCTGTTTGAATTGTCCCTCATTAACAAATAAAGGTCATCATCAAAGGCAACTCTACTTTGAGTGGACAACTCTTCCCCAGTTGAATTTGAGTGCTTTTCAACCCGAGGGACTCATCTTCTGGCACTATGACTATATTCTGGTGTTGTTCATTATGTTTCAACATTCAACAATCTGGTGCTGACAGTGTTCCACTGTTATTCATAAGGTTTTCAGTGACTAAGTATTCAGAAGTAGTTCGTCTCATTTTCTTCCTAGTCGATCTTTGGCTGGAAGCTATATAGCCCTGGTATGGTGCTGTAGCAAAAGCACTGGACCATAAGGTCAGTTTGAATAGCAAGGTTGATGGTTCAAACTCATTAGCTGCTCCTCGAAAACCCTATACTATGAGTCGGAACTGACTCAATGGCACTTAACAGCAATAGCATATGTAGTTCAAGAATTTTTGTTAGATTTCTTCTTCTTTTTTTAAAGTTTATATTGCGAATTGAGTGACAGTTTACATGGGAGAACGTCAGTTTTACAAGCATTGTTTCATTGCAATGATTACAATCTCCTCTGCGCATCATCATTCAACAGCATTTGCTTCGATTCCCTCTGTTTTTGTCTTTTTTTTTTTTTTTTGAGGGGGGATGTACACAAAAACTCCCAGGAATATATAGTCATTTAAACAACCAAAGGGCATGTCCTTCAAGCCTGCCTCCTGGCCACCACCACACAGCCTTTCTGTTAGAGTTCTTCTTATGAGTGCTAATTCTTTGGTGAATTTCTCCATTTTAAAAAATGTTTCTCTACTTGCATGAATTATTTAATTGTAGAAAAAATGTTCAGTGAAATTCACAACATTAATGGATTAAAGAAAGGAAACAACCCATTTATCTATAAGTGCTATCATATATAAATGTTATCTCTAAACATTTAACAATGTTTTTAATAAATTTCAGTGATTACTTTTGTTAAAAGTCTTTGAAAATAAGGAATAAAAGGAACTCTTTTAACTTGATAAAGTCTATTTAACTAAAATCTGCAAGAAGTATCAAACAGAACACTTAGATGGAATACATTTAGGATGAAGCAAAAGGCAATAATGTCTATTATAACAATTATCGTTTGATAGTGCTATACAAGAAAGAATTCCTGGAAAATGCAGTAAATGAAGACACAGAAGTTTAACTAATAAAAATACTATAACGAAAGGAAAAATAAAGTCATATTCATTTGATACAGTCTACATAGGTCACACAATACATTATTAGAACTAATAAGAAAATTTATTACATTAACTAATATTATATGATGTCCTTATGTGACACTGTAGGATAAGCACTGGACCACAGGTCAGCAGTTCAAACTCACCATCCACTTCTTAGAAACCCTGTTAAGGGTCACTATGAGAACCAATTTGACTCTTAACAGACACTTAACAATAACAGCAATATACTATAAGTTATGAAAATCTGCAATATTTCTCTAAAGTAGTTATAACTTGTATTAAAAATAGGATGCTATTTACAATGATAATAAACATGATCTTATATAATAACTAACCTAACAAAAAATAAAGAAAATTTTTGCAGAGAAAACATTTAAACTCTATAAAGGAATAAAATATAATATATTTGACTAAATAGAACTATGACACTGAATTAGAAGTAGGGACAGTGACATGAATAGATGCCAAATATAAAAAAAGTGACAGTAGAATAAAATTTATCACACAAAAGTATTTACATAAATTAAAAACACATACACCTTGAAATGTGTTCTACAAAGACACATACATATTTGAGGACATAAACCAAGAAATTATCAGAGTGGTTATCTTGGTAGAGGTAATGAGAGTTGAAATGGAAAGAAAAAGTTAAATGAAATAAAATAAAAAAGAGTCCAGCCTAATGGTGCGCCATGAATAGTCAAATGAGACTTCCTCAACTGTCAGTACCATGGTGGGTCCAAAACGAACTAACTAAAAAGCATAAGTGTAATGGGAGTAATGAAGGGCTACAGGTGGAGATGTAAAAGAATAAAGTCAGAAAGTGAGATGAATGGATTTATGATGGCAAAGTCTAGCATATGTACATGAGAGAGGGAGGTCAAAGGGATGTGAAACACAGGTCATCGGATAGAAGTCATGAAAATGAGAGGTCAAGTTGTGGAATAATGAGTCATCAACATGGGCATCATTGAAGTTATTTTGGAAAATGGCAAGTCTAGAGACAGAACGGAACACTAGGATCTAGGTGTCAAAGCCATTGACATATGAGAGGAAGCAACTAGGATGTTGGCATATGGAAGGAATGATGAGAGATAAAGTGTTGTTAGAACTAAATAACATGGTCTTTGCTATTCCATATCTTTATGATTTGGTCTCATAGACACCTGATGAAGTGTTCATGTGTGTCTAGAAAGATAGAGTCATATAGACAGATATTCTTATTAATCAGCCCTGAAAGATACAATTCTTGATTTACACATCTTTAAAATAGGGTAAATAATTGAACTTGAGTGCCAGTTTATCCGAACTGGGAGCAGTTGACTATTGTGTCATGTTAAAGATTCTGAAACCTCATGACTCAGTAGGAAAGAGACATGATGATTAAAAATGTCTCTGTGTGATGAGAAGAGAGACATGTAACCATTTATTTGGGCACATCCAGACAAATAACATTAGGAGGACCCCGGAGGTTTGGGGGTTAGAGCTAATGTCCTGTAAATGGATTGGTGCTGAACATCTGAATGATCTCTTTGTCTGCTGAAGAGTTTGGAATGAGACTGGAGAAGTTGCATATCAACGTTTTTCATACCGCTTATTGTTTTAAGGCATTGTATTATATACTTCATATACATTGACTCTTCTCCTTATAAAAATGCTGAGATATGAGTATTATTAGCTACATATTACACATGAGGAGACAAAGACTCAAAGTGGTTAAATAATTTGCTCAAGATTACACAGCAGATGAGTAGTGAGGTCAGATTTAAAGTCCTAGTCTGTCTGCCACCACAACATATATTCTTACCAGGTACTATACTTCGGGCCATTTGTTGCTGTTAAGTGCTGTCCAGTCTGTTTTGACTCATAGAGATCCTGTATAGGGTTTCTGAGGAGCAGCTGGTGGGTTTGAACCACTGACCTATAGTTAGCCATCCAGTTCTTATCCTGCAGCACCACTTATATGAATGTAATTCTCTTATAGGCCTCACCATGTGGATAGCTCCAGAACAGAACCAAAGTTGGGTCTCTGAATTTATCCTGCTTGGCTTCTTCAGTGACCCCATCTCCAACAGGATCCTCTTCATTGCCTTCCTTCTCCTGTACCTGAGTTCAATCCTGGGCAATGGGCTCATTATCACTCTGATCTGCCTAGATTCACATCTCCACACTCCTATGTACTTCTTTCTCTGTATCCTCTCCCTACTTGATATAAGCTATGTTACTACCACCATACCCCAGATGCTGGTGCACCTTCTTGCTCACTCTCAAAGCATCTCTTTTGCTCGCTGTTGGGTGCAGATGTATGTGTTTGGTGCCCTCAGCCTGACGGAGTGTGTTTTCTTTGTTGTTATGGCCTATGACCGATATGTGGCCATTTGCTATCCACTGCGTTATACTGTTATCCTCAGCTGGGGAATGTGCACAAGACTAGCAGCTGGGACCTGGGCCTTTGGTTTCATCTCCTCTTTGATTCACACCTTCCTCACTATGAGGCTACCCTACTGTGGGCCCAATATTGTCAACCACTACTTCTGTGAAGGTCCCACAGTACGAACCTTGGCATGCATGGATACCCACCTCATTGAGATAGTGGATCTGGTCATGAGTGTGTTTGTGAATGTTACTCCAAGTTGCCTCATACTGGCCTCTTATGTCCGTATTGTTCTGGCCATTCTCAAGATCAAGACCACCAGCGGCCGATGCAAGGCTTTCTCCACCTGTGCTTCCCACCTAACTGTGGCTACATGCTTCTATGCTCCAGCCACCTACATTTATCTAAGACCTAATTCCAGCTTTTCCCCTGAACGTGACAAGCAGATTGCCCTCTTTTACAATGTCCTCACAGCTTTGCTCAACCCTGTTGTCTATAGTCTGAGGAACAAGGACATCAAAGGGGCTTTTCTCAAGGTGATGGGACGAGGGAGGGTGGCCTTGTGAAATGGGATACAGAAGAGGCCTTGGATAGAATGTTCTATGATTAGGAAGGGGTTAGTATCTGTCATGTCTTCAACCAACATTGTACGTTTAAACATTGTACAAATCCAGTGGAATAAATGAGGTCCATGGAAGCATCATGCTGTAATGGTCAACTTGGTCAATTATGATGCAATAACAAACTACTCCATAATCTCAGTGGTTTACAGCAACAAAAATTTGTGTATTGTTCATGTTCCATATAAATTGTTCATTAGTTGTAACCTTCTGTAGTTTCAGATCCAAACTGTAGAAAGACCCTCACCTGGAACATGCCATTCTATGACAGCTGGAAGGGGGAAAAACAGCTAAAATAAATGATGACTTTTAAAACTTCTACTTATAAGTGACTCATATTTCTTTGTTCACATTGTATTGACTAAAGTAAGCCACCTAGTCAAGTCTGATGGAAAGGCATAGGAAATATTTTCTTTCCACATAGAATTAGTGCAAGTCACATGGCAATGAATAGGAATGTACAACCCTTCTATAGGGCAGGCATCAAACTATGGGTTAATAATTCAATTGACCATAATGACATTGTTGTTTGTTATTAAGTGCCATCAAGTTGGTCCCAACTCATAGTGACCCTGTCTGTATAGGTTTCCAAGGCTTTATATCTTCATGGGAGCAGAACCCTCATCTTTCTCCCAAGGAGTGGCTTGTGGGCTCACACCACAGAACTTGTGGTTCACAGTCCAGTGTTTATTGTATGTTGTTGTTGTTGTTAAGGGCCGTCAAGTCGGTTCCAACCCATAGCGACCCTGGATAGGGTTTCCAAGGAGCAGCTGGTGAGTTTGAATCACCAACCTTGCAGTTCAAATGGCTTTGCAGTCTGGCGCTTTAACCCAAAGTGCCACAAAACAATAAATGCATGTATACAACATGAAACTTGGTAAACTTAATTGACATGGTATGATAAAAGAAAACAGTAAAAGGCTAAAGTGGAATCTGAACAATTGGAATGCTAAATTTAAATAGAAAATATCTGAAAAGTAATTCAATGGTATATGGAACCACTATAGTCCCTGGACCTAACTTGGTCAAGGAACCAATGTGGTTCTTGAAATCATGTGATATATTCCGCAGCATTATTGCAAGGGGTATAGGACTTGAAAACATGACCTGGACTCTCGTTCCAACCTTACTAGCTTGTTGTGTGACTTTGGAAAATTTACTTCTGTGGACTTCATTTTACTTATTTATAAAATGAACAACTTGAATTTAATGGTCTCTCAGGCATCTTTTGACTTAAATTCTATACCACTGTCGACAGAGTAGGTTTTGTGCATGAAACTCAAAATCAATCCATGTGTGATGGTCATCAGTGAACCCTAAGAAGAATAAGAAAATCATAATGGGGTGGTGGGCTGCACACATATCAGTGACGCTTATTCTTTCAAGGGACCAAAATGACATATGGGATTCTTTGGGAATATTTACATGGGTTCTCTGAGTTAGAACAGATATCCACATTTCTTACAGCGCTCATTATTGGTCCAGAGGCCTTGTGATGAGCCAATTTAATTCTTGTATTTTAGAGCATCCACTATGATCCATCTATACAAGACCCTGTGGAAACAAAGAGAAATAAGTGGAGTGATTTATAGTCATAAAATTGTAATAACCCTAACCAAGATGTCATGCTGACCTGTGGCACCTAAAGACCTTATGGGAGTGAGGTTCTCTCAGTGGGTGTCAAACACAGATATCCAGATTACATATAACCCTACTTCAATTCACTACTCTGATAGATTGAAATATAACAAATAAGGTTGCAGAACTCTGAGAGAAACAAACAAAGTTCTTGAATAAAGAAAATGAGGAGAGAAACCTACTATTCAAGTTAGGACCAGTAAGGCCCAAGTGAGGAACTGAGATTGAGCTGACACCTGTTCACACTTGTATAGTGTGAATAAAGACATAAAGACCAAGCATTGCAAACAGCCAAGAGCAGGGCATTTCATGCAACCTCTTGATATTAGGACCTCAGGATAAAGATCACAAATCAGAAAAGAACTTTTATGCTTGAAAAACTGGAAGAAGACTCATGAGGTCATAATAAAGTAAGCAGGAGAGGTGGAGATAACACTGGAGAGATAGTCAAAGGCCAGATCCTAGATAGCCCAATAAGAAGAATTTATTTTATCTAAATGCAATGCAAAAGGAGAAGTTAAACCCATACCTCATGTCATATGTAAAAACACACTCAAAATGGATCTAAGTGCAATGAGAATGCTTTTATCCTATTTGAGGAAGTGATGCCATTTTAGAAATGAAAAGCTGCCTTGTAAGGTCTGGTTGGTGCTGTATTATAAGCACTGGACTGCTAATCCCAAAGCCGACAGTTCAAACCCACCAGCTCCTCAGAAAACCTATAGAGGGTCACTATTAGTCAGAACCAATTCAATGGCACTTAACAACAACAACATTACCTTGTGGGTGTGACTTTAGGAAAGGGGGAAAAATGGTTATTAGGGATGAAACTGTCCGGGAATTTATAGGCCAAGGGTAAGAATAAACAACCGCCCTTTTAGAGAACTATCAGATAGGTGATGTTCCCAATACAAGGTTGGGGGTATTGGGAGGGAGCTGCTGATTCTGGTGCTGGGGTTTAAATGACAGAGAAGAACTGGGGAACAGAAGGAGAAATTAGATACTAGGCCAGTAAGGGTATGAATAGAGTGATTAATAAGGAATAATAAATGATTATAAAGTTCTGTGGATTCCTTTCATCTCCTTTGATGCTTCCTCAGTCATTCAATATTGTTTCCATAGAATCCTTCAATATTGCATCTAAGGTGCAACTTTTGGTCTCTCCCCATCTGGAAGAAAGAAGGGTGATGAAAGTTGAAGATGCCTGGAAACAGTAAGTTCAATGGACTGATGGACCATGGGAATACCAGTATCCATAATAATGAGACCAAAAGAATTAAATGATGCCTGGTTACCACTACCAACTGTTCTGAAAGGGATCACATTAGAATGTCTAAGATAAAGTGGGAGAAAATGTGGAACAAAACTAAAAAAAAAAAAAAAAAAGGCCAGGATTACTGGTCAGATAAAGATTGGTGGAGTCCAGAAACTATGTCCCTTGGTTACCTTTCCAGCTCTGGAACAGCACTTACCCCCGTGGCTCAATTTTCAGCCAAACAATAGGTATATAAGAGGGACAACAAAACTAGTGAGGGAAGCACACCATAGAATGGTTAACCACTCAAGATCAAAAGGGCAGCATTTATCCAAGGACAAAATTCAGAAGGGTTGGGAAACAAGAAAAACAAGGAGGAAGTGGGATACATGATGTAACATTAATGGGATTGTAATCATTGAGACCACCACTCGTCTGTCAGTTTGTCATACTGTGGTAGCTTGTGAGTTACTGTGATTCTGAAAGCTATGCCACTGGTATTTTAAATAACCAGCAGGGTCACCCATGGTGGACAGGTTTCAGATGAGCTTCCAGATGAAGACAGACTAGGAAGAAGGAGTGATGAACTGCTT